ATACTTCAGGATGATGAAGAATTACGCGAAGAGCTTGTTAAAAATGTAGATTCTTGGACTCTAACCTCCGTGAATTTGGTTCAGTGGCTCTAGGGTAGCCCCTGAGACCTTGTATTTGTAACAAGTTCCTAAGTAATGTTGATACTGCTGGTCCGGGCACCACACCATTTATGTAGCACCAATTATGTTTGGAAATTTTATTGGCTGCATTCCAGTTCCACATATCCAATGAATACCTTGTCCTAAGTCTATTTTGATGATGTCTCCTGAGTTTCTGATCCTGCAAAAGACTCTCCTTAGGAATTCTAGGTACCGTTGGTCTTTTGAATAATCTAACACTCTGTTATCTGTTATCATCGGGCCATAAACCCACAGATCTCAAGAAACTATAAAGACTGGCTTTTATGGGTTGTATCATGACTATGAAATCATCCCATGAATTTTTTTGGTGCTGAAAAAGACAGCGATCTATCAAGATTTCTTCTTCAAAATAGAAAAATCTAAAGCTCCCTCTTCCTCATCATGACTATAACTTTTCCTCTTTTTGCTTTGCCTCAAACCCTTTTTTTATTAAAAGGTTTTTTTTAAATGTTTATTTATTTTTGAAAAAGAGAGCAGGGGAAGGCCAGAGAGAGGGAGACAGAGGATCCGAAGCAGGCTCTTGCTGTCAGTGTAGAACCTGATGCAGAGCTCAAACCCACGAGTCGTGAGATCATGACCTGAGTCAAAGTCAGAAGCTCAACTGACTGAGCCACCCAGGCGTCCCTGCTTGCCTCAAATTCTTTGGGAAAAGCTTATACTCATTCTTCAGCCAGAAACCTGAGTCCTTAGGAAACAAATACAAGAGACTTTTGGTGGGAGTGTATCTGGCTTCCAACAGTACCAGTTGGTTCCTGGGCTATATTCTTAAAATAGAAAAACGACCAATTACAGTTTTGCCAAAACTACATTTGGTGTAATCCAGAGAATATGTTTTTAAGTGTCTGAAGGACTCAACCACAGGAATCTTGATGGTACCAGCCAAGATATCTGAGGTCCAATGATGTCAAAACCCAGGGACCATTCAGTACTCAGGGGGGGATTCCAACTAAATAGAAGCTGGGATTTGGACATGTCTGGGCAGGTCTGCTGAATATGCAGGGCAGGCATGCCTGGAGTCTATTTACATGACAACTTTTGGCTGAAGAATGATAGTAAGCTGAGCTGAATGGAAAGTGGAGTGGGAAGAACAGAAATGTGTCTGTCTTAGGAACCAGATTTTGATACATATTCTTTAATAAATGAGTTTATTAATTAAATAATATATCATATTTTTGTTTCTTGGAATTATACAATTTACATTAGGAATTTTAATAGTTTGAAAATAGTTTACTATCTTTGGGAATCTATAGTCCTTGGGTAGGCAATCATATCAAAATGAAAGAAGATTGATTTAATTTAGTTTACTAGCTGAGATTATATTGGGTGTGTGAGCAAAAGGACAAAGGACATATATTTTGGGGCTTTGGAAATGTTCGTGGATTAGTGAATTTTTTAAAATTTCTATAGGAAATAATGTATTTAAATTTGTTATTTTCAACTGTATATTCTTGCTATTCCACCTAGAATTTTGTGAATTTTGTTAACCATTAACATGGCTAAAGTACTTTAAAATTATATTTACCTTTCATTTAAAAACTGTTCACACTTGTGCTTCTGGTCTTGATTAGTGCTATTCCTCATTCACTGCATTTTCGAGATAGAGTTTGGTTGATGAGCCACAGTTCCACCTTTGTTTTTCTTTAATTAGTAACAATTATTATAATCTTAGAGAACATTCATTTTCTGGCTTTTTAATGTGCCAGACACCCATCTAAGCACTTCACACATCGTATCTCTATTAAGCCTCACCGCATTATTATGAGGGAGACAATTGCGTTATCCTGACTACATACATGGGGAAACTAAGGCACAGAAAGATTAAATTACTTGTCCAAGTAACAGCTAGCAAGCAGTGGAGAAAATCAAGGCTTAGAGTGTTTGCAAGTGTTTTAGCAAAGTTACTAATTAATCACTCTAAATTTAAAGATGATTACAGAAAAGGAAAGGCTGTTTCTCATTTTGGGTACTGTTTAGGTGCCATGAACTCTCTCATTGCCAATTTTGATTCTTCAGGTAGCCTTGGGAAAGTCACTGGAATTATTTTCCAGAGACTCTTGGTCATACAAATGATTTTTTAAATGACTCTGATCTTTCAGTTGCTTTCCTAGAGAATGAGAGAAGCAAGGTACCTATGTATTTCTCCTTCTTGAGAATGACTTTAGATTTTTAAACTTATTTGTGTGTAAGTTCAAACTTACAGAAAACTTGCAAAAATAAAGATAGCATTAAAAGTACCCATATACCTTTTACTCACATTCCCTTACTGTTAACATTTTACTCTAATTCTTTCCGTTTGTGTGCTTTCTCTGATACATATGGGGAAGAAAACTAAAAAGTTATATTTTTTCTTATTAACTCATTTAAGGGTTAGTTACATACTTTTTGGCCCTTTCCCCTTAATACCTTGATGTGTATTTCCCACATAAAGGGATAATATCTTTTGAGATCACATTATAGTGATAAATTTCAGTAAATTCAACATTGATTCAATACTTTAGTCTATGATCAGTATACCAGTTTGTCAGTTGGCATATTAACATTATTTATAGAATTTTCCTCCTTGGGTACAGGATCCAGTCTAAGGTCAGTTACTGCATTTAGTTGTCATATTTGAGAATAACGCTAATTATGCCAGATTATATTTTTACCATATTCTAGAAACCATCTCCATACAGCATATAAAAATCTTAATTTAGGAGGACATCTGATGAAAATTAGACTTCTGATAGATTTTTTTCACGATTACTTGATACTTTAGAATTCCTTGGGGGTGCCTGGGTGGCTCAGTTGGTTAAGCATCTGACTTAGGCTCAGGTCATGATCTCACGCTTCGTGGGTTCGAGCCCCACATCGGGCTCTGTGCTGACAGCTAGCTCAGAGCCTGGAGCCTGTCTTTGGAATCTGTATCTCCTTCTCTCTCTCTGACCCTCCCCTGTTCATGTTGTCTCTATCTCTCTCTCAAAAATAAATAAAACACTTAAAAAATTTAGAATTTCTAATGATGATTAGGATGTAGGGATAGTAATTAAAACTAGTTTTAATGAGTTAGTTACTAGCAACTCTTTCTATTGTATTGTATGGCTAAGCTAAAAAATGTTAGATTTTTTTGGCATTTTGAATCATAGTTGAAATTCTAACAACAGCTTAATAATACTGATCTAATTTTAATTTTAGAAGAGACTTCTATTTTTTTTTTTTTTTTTTTTTTTTTTTTTTTTTTTGCTACTTATTAGTCTCTTACAGGATTACTGGGAAAGTAGGAAACTCCAAGAAGGAAAATGATATACTGTCTAGTGTTTGAAAGGAATGATTGATGCTGACAAGTTAAAATATAAATTTTAAATAAATAATCAGGAAGTTGTTTAAAAGGCAAGCTGTTGATTTTATCACTCCCCCTTGCTAAGACACACATTGGTGCCTGTTAAATCTGACGTTTTTACTCTGATCGTCAATGGCAGCTTTAAAGCGTCTGTAGTATTCCAGGACAAAGTAACAAATCAACTCCAGGAAGGGCTGTGAAACTATATCTGTTGGCCCTTTCCTTTCCTGAGAGACCATCCCTAGTGGCATGCCAGTAGCTTCTGGGCACTGGAGAAGTTATGACCCTGGTCTTCCCTAGGGTTAATGACAGACTGTTTGTCTTCTGCACCTCCCTTTCACCTTTCCCTGGGAAACTGGGGCTGAAGGCTAACAAACCCTATAGGTTCCCAGTCGTTACATGAACTGCCTACCCAAAAGGCCCCTCTTCCTCCACCAAATTTGAGAGCCAAGAGTCTCCTATAATCATTTTTAATAGCTATATTAAGAAGGATTTTTACAAAAGGGACAAACTTTTTTTAAAATTTTTTAAAAGTTTTTAAATTTTTATTTATTTTTGAGACAGAGAGACAGAGTGCAAGCAGGGGAGGGGTAGAGAGGGAAACACAGAATTCAAAGTAGGCTCCAGGCTCCGAACTGTCAGCACAGAGCCCAACACAAGACTAGAAACCACAAGCTGGGAGATCATGACCTGAGCCAAAGTCAGACGCTTAACTGACTGAGCCACCCAGGTGCCCCTAAAAGGTCCAAACTTTTAAAAAGGTCTTGGGTCATGGTTTTTAAAGAAAAGATTGTAACTATTTGTTGAGCAATGTTGGCGATATTGACTGTTCTTTGCTCTTTCCCTTCCAGACAGACCCAGTCCTCCCTTCTTTGCATCTTGCGTCCTTTTGATATTTTTAATATACTTAGGCAACGAATTAGCACTCAATGAATTGAAAATTTGTATTACTTAGTTACGTATTACTACATATAAGGACCAATTGATGCCAATGCTAATCTTAGGCTCTAATAGTGGGACTTGTCTGTCTTAATGTAACCTGCAAAATACTGACACAGATTTGAGTGTCCTCACTTAATCCTGATGAATGGTGCATGTGGTTGTGGAAATCCACCTCTGCCTCCTCTTTACCCCAAGTCCCTAGAATTCCAACACCAATGCCTAGTTCTATAGTTGATTTTTTGATTTCTAGAATGTGCTTGTCAAATATTAGGCAATTTTCATTTTTCCTTGTGCTTTGGTTTTTAAAGATCTATGATCCATTTTATTTAGATGAAAGAAGATAAAGGGTTCCCCTCATTATGGAGAAGAGCATGCAAATGGATAGGTAAGATGATGGTGCGTTTAGGTATGCAGTCACTCCTGTCAAGGGGTTGCTGGACCTCAGATCCCTTTATGTTTATCAGACTCCACTGAGGTGACTTGTAATTTACCTTGCTTTGGAGCTTATTGTCCTGGCTCACTATTTCTTAGCAAATATATCATATGCACTTTAACTCAAAAGTCCAAACAACTTCTCTCACATCAACAATTGAGACCATTGGCTTTTTAAAATTTTTTTATTTTTTCACTCATCATTTATTTACAAATACACATTATAACTTTTATATACATTGCACATTTACATGGTAGAAAAGTACAAAACTATATATTTAAATGAATTTATATTTAACTTGCCATGTTTGAAAATATAAAATTGCATCAGAAAAAAGTATTATGAAAAGCAAGAAACTTGAACTGATAAAGCTTTGATATAACTTTTAGCGACACGTTGTTTGAAAAAGAACTAATTTAAAAGGTACAGCAGAGTAGCTTATAGGAAACACCTAATAAAAGGTTGAATGTATAGCATTCCCTTCCTTCAGTCTCCGGATACCCATATCACTCAATTTCTTTGGATTTGTAACATCTTAAAAGTACATTATTAGAATTCTAACATTACTATCACCCCTTCTCTCCCAAATCATGACAAGAGAACTGAGCTAGGAGTTTCCTCAAAGATGTATCCTCTGTACCTTCTCAGTCAGTTATAATGCCTTTTGGTCAGTCAAGATTCCTTGTAAACAAAACCCGAGGGATCATGTATGTACAGAACAGGCATCAGAGAATCCAATAAATAAACATGACAGAAACTGACATGCAAGTTTGTTAAAGTGGAAAAGAGTCTAACAACAGTGAGATGAAGGGAGACAGATGAGTGAGTGAATAGTAAGGAATGGACTTAAATGGTTTACAAGGGAAAAAAAAAGCTTTTACTTTACAAGCAAGAGACCTCACAATAAATAACAACTGCTCTTCCTTTCACGAATAAATTTCTTCAAAAACAAGGTGTACAGTCAACCAGACATTTTATGTATAAATTATAAAACATGACACAGTATAAATAAATGTCTACAAGTCTCAACTATGGGCCTCATCCAGTAGACCTCAAAATGACTGCCTCTCCGTGTCCAATGAGTAACAAGGTGGCCTGGGAGAGAGCTCTAGGACAAACGTCCTTTATGTATAGTTTCCCCCCCAAATAAATAAGCATACACTTATTTACAGTATGGACAATATATTTTTTCTTTTCTTTTCATTTTTCTTTTTCTTTTTTCTTTTTTTTTCTTTTTCTTTTTTTTTTTGCCCAAAGGCTATATCAACACTGAACATTGGTGGAGGGTTTACCACTCTAGAATGGAAGATATAGGAAAGCTGTAGTCCTGGTCTTCATCTTCCTCTTCCTCCTCGGTGTCTTCCGAAATGGCTAGATGGGGGAATACAGGGGAGCTGTTGTTTAAATATGGACAACAACAGCGCAGAAGCAGCTCACTGTATGTTTTCAAAGCCCTCTGAGACAGCCATATTACAGCGTTGCATTTTTATGTGACTTGCAGTGAGATGCTTTGTTTTTGGCATCTGCCGTTATGCAATAAGTTTAAAAAATATTTTTAAAAACATTATCTATGAAGTCAAAAACTGCAGAAAGTTCTGAAGAATCAATGGCTCAGGTTTTACGGGCAGATTCCTGAAATTAGATAAAAAGCGCTCGTGTTCTAGGTATAACTGCTGTGGATCCTTAATTCAGAGTTAGTAGAGGCAACTGCGAAAAGCAGCAGCCCAGGTGTGATAATATACAGCTGTCTTTGAAAAAGGAAAAAAAAAAAACTTTTGAAGCAGTTAGTTTAGATTCAAGTGTTAATAAAGCAAACGGCCAAGCATATTACTACAGCGAAAGAATTAAGGGCAAATGACTAGAACTAGAACTAGGATTTTAGAGGCAAGCCCGTAGATGATCGTTGGACAAGTCCTAACACCGGGAAACATTCCAGGGAATTTTTCTGTGGACCACTGAATTGCTGGTGAAATTTAGCAACTACCTAATTTAAATTTTTGTTTTTAGCATTTATTTATTTTTGAGAGACAGAAACAGAGCGTGAGCAGGGGAGGGGCAGAGAGAGAGGGAGACACAGAATCGGAAGCAGGCTCCAGGCTCTGAGCTGTCAGAGCCCCATATGGGGCTTGAACCCACGAGCTGTGAGATCATGACCTGAGCCAAAGTCGGTTGCTTAACCAACTGAGACACCCAGGTGCCCCTAGCAGCTACCCGATTTAAACAGAAATGGGCTTGTATTAGGTTTTCGTGCTTTTGAGGTCTCCATTCCCTAGGGTTTGCCTGGGAAGACCTCACATTGCGGCGAAGGTTAGAAACTGTACTTACAGTTGCAAGATCCGGAGTGCTTGACCTCCAGCAGCACGCCTGAGGAGCAGGCAGCCTCCTTCATGGCACACTCACTGGCATAAGTGGCATTGTCACTGGCACAGACAGGCTCCTCGGACTTACTCTCGGGGCACAGCTCATCGCAGAGGGAACACCGGCCTCTGCCAACCTTGAAATCCCATAAACACTTTTTTCCACCAGTGCACTGGATATCTTCACAGGACTTTGCTTCTAGGATATAATACACCTGTGATGAGTAAATTGCTTTCCACCCTCTCCCTGTTTCTCCCTTTCCTTAGCCCTCTGTCAGTAAAGACAAACATACAGCTTATGACTTACTAATAGGATAATGGAGAGCTCATGCAAAAATGCTTGATCATAAAATCGAAACTTACACACGGTCCCTACACATCCTGTTAGTACACAAAAATAATATTTTTGGGGAACAGGTTATCACAGTATCCTGGAATTAAATAAGGATTTCATTATTTCCCTCAAGTGAAATCTTTTGAAAAATAAAGAATTCCATTAGTATTAGAATCTGATAACAGATTTTCAGTAACTGTTGAGCAATTATTTCTTGCTTACAGCAAGTCTAGCACCTAAAAAAATGTGTAAAATTGAGTGAATTCTAAGTTTTCCAAGACAGAAAATTGTTTCCCGTTTCTTGCTGGCATTTCAACATATATGCCAATGCTTCTAGAAGATAACTGTTTCCTTGAGGAATGCTGTGGTTACCACAGTTTACCCAAACTGGAGAGTAGTTCTCCAGCTGGTGAAACTATGCATTATGGGGAGGCTTTGGGCTTATCTGATTAACCTCACAGTTTTACCACTAGAACTAGCCTTTCTGATCCTGTTTCCACTTTTCCTTCCTTAATCCAGAATACCTACTGATACACTTTCCCTCATAGGCTAATCCAATCGATCTGCCCAGCAGGCAGGTAGCCTTTCTCAGGTGACAGGCACTGGAGTAGGTCACTCCATCATTCCCACAGAGATACTGTTCAGAGGAGGTGGGCTCTGGGCAAATTCGGTTACATGTCACACAGTAGGCATTGTTAGTCTGGTCCACTACACATGTGGAGCTGCCTGGACAAAAGACATCCCGACATGTCTCTGAAATAAAGAAGGAAAGAAATACACATTAATAATAGGCACTTACTGGCCCTTAGGGAGTATTTGATATTATCAGGGAAATCATAAAAGGAAGCAACCAGCTTTTCAAAAAGCACTTTGGGAGCCCTGGTGGTTTCAAGAGAAAATCTAGGACTCTAGGTTGGTCCCATCCGTGTCCTTGAGAAGTCTTCAGAACATAAAGAAAGGCTACTTTGTCTTGCATCATCATCATTATTATTAGGCTCTTACGGTAGACTATATACCACCCCCCAGGGATCTTCCAGTGGGTCTACCTCAGGCAGAAAGCTGGAGGAGGGGAGCCAGGGAGGACCTACTTTTACATTTGCCCTGGTACTGGACTTCTAGTTCCGGCTGCTCTTTACATCTAGCCTTGAGGAGTGCACATTCATTGCGGTAGGTTTTCCCATCCAGCCCACAGACTGGGCCTTTCCAGGTGATGTTGGAACAGTCTGGGGCGCAGACGCAGCGGGGTTTGTTCTTCTTGTTCATTCGGCACTTTTTCCCGGGTCCACAGTCTACGTTCTCACATGTTTCTAAAGGTTGGAAAGAGGGATAGATCAAAGCCAGGGCCAGCCAGGAGGGCTGTGGAGGCCTTGCATGACTGTGTGGCCAAAAATTCCCACCAGAGGGGTCCAGCTCTCTCCTAGTAGTTGAGGAGGAGGCGGGGGTGGGGTCCGTGGTCTGCACCCTATACCCAAATCTCTCTCAAAGAGTGCCAGTTGGTTGGCTTCACCACCACACTTGGCTAGTAAGACCAGGAACCTCTGGGAACCATGTTTTGCCCAAAGTGTGTAACAAGCAAGATTCAACCCGAGAGGCTTACAGGGCTGGGGGAAGATAGAGGGAACCCAGGAACAAACCCCAGCTGGACAACAGGGAAGGCGAGGATAAGACGCCCTCTACTGAGGGCCTGGAAACAGGGGAGGAAGAATTTACCTTTACAGGGGATGCAGTTGGGGGCGCCCCCATTGAAAATCATCCACTTGAAGAGCGTATTGTCATTTACATCCTCCTCGGTCCAGGAGGTGCTCAGGCGGCCGGTGCTGCAGCACTCTTCTTTGCTCAGTTCTGTCTTGTACAGGACCTGGCAGCGGCCGTTCTTTGCTTGGCGGAGCCAGCAATTCCCAGCTGCGAGGAGACAGAGTGGGGAGGTGGGTGAATGAGAGGCAGAGCAGGGGGAGGGAGGTGGGGAGCTTGCGAGGGAAGGAGACCCAGCGCGATGGAGATGGGGAGGGAGGGACTGTGGAGGAGTAGAGAGAGATGGGAGAGAAAAGCGGAAAGTAAGTCGAAGGGAGTGAAGGGGTGGGGAAAGAGGGGGGGGGAAAGTGGGAGGTGGGTGAGGGGGAAGGAGGGCAAGAGCGAGAAGCCAGAGCACCCCAGCCATATCCATGTCAGTTACCAGTGACCCAGACACAACACGTGCAGCTTGCATTGACTTTTACTAGACTGTTTACTTTTATTGTCCCATTTCATAACCTGCAGCGACTCGAAGAGCAGATTAAAGAACCTGACAAAAACAGGATGCGACGGATGTTTTTACATGTTGGTTTCATGTAGGCGGTACGAGTATTATTTGTGACAGGGGTTAAGAGAGGAGAACTTGAGAGAGAGAGAGGAAGAGAGAGACCGACACAGACACACACAACAGGAACAGATCAAGCAAAAGGCACTTGTGAAAAATGAAAGCAAAAAAAGCAGCCGGGCCCTGCCCGGAGCTGCCCCGCGCGGCCTCCAGGCGCAGCCCGCCCGCCCGCCCGGCCCGTTTTGCAATCTGCCAGACCCAGAGGACGCCCGCGGCCACCGCGGTCTTTCGAAATCTCCAAGGGCAGCTTTTCCCGGCGCCCACGTCCGCGGCACCCAGGCAGCGCCTCGCCCGGAAAGGTGCGGGCGGCGAGGGGCAGTGCCCAGGGGGGCAGTTTACAATACACTCCAGACGGTAACGCTAAAGCAAGCAAAGTTACACGTCTGTCTCCAGAAAAGTGTAGGGGAAAAAAGAACGGGGGCGGGGGGCGGGCTTCCTACTATTTCACAGCAACATCTATCCCATACCTACCGAGAGAAATCTTAGCAAGTAATTTTCCCTCCTTCCCTCCCCCTTCTCAGGTTCGCATTTTGGTCAGGAAGACTTCTTACGGAGCATCAATACAATTTGAACAATAATTGGACCGCAAGCTGCTATTAGGATTATTTTTAAAAATTGTGCCCGAAGACTAATTGAAATAAATTTAATGTAAAAAAAAAAAACCCAAACTTTAGAAATTTGCTCTTAATGCATCTCAGAAATTAAAGAAGTTGTGAGGTCCTCACTGTTCTCCATAAAGTTAGTCGGAGGAATGAGGCACAGGAAAAAAAAAAATTGTAAACTACTCAAAACACTCCGGGGTAATTTTTTTTTTTTTTTTTTGCGGGGTTGGGGGGAGGGGGTTGGAAGAAGCATCCACTAGGCAGAAAGCTACTTCCCTCTAAAATTTTCAGCACCCACATCTCCAAGTTTGGGCAAAGTTGCTGAAACCACGTCCCCCGGCTACTGAAGAAATTTCAGTATCTACCCCCATCTCCCAGTCATTTTTTAAAGTATCCAAAAGATGTGAGAGGGAAAGAGGTTACAATGCAAATGGATCGGCTGAAATCTCCAGGCTACCGATGCCTGTCCCCTCCTTCAGAGCCAAAACAGGGGAGATAACATCTAAACTCATTATGTCCAGAACTTGAAGCATCTAACCCTAACTACTGAGAGAGACTCCAGCTTACTCCCTTTCCTTTTAAAGGATAACCGCGCTCCAAACTCGGCTGGCAGTCCTAAAGTGTCACTGCCGTGGGTTTCCCCACTCCGCTCCATCCCGGAGTCGCTAAGTTGGTCCAAAATCTTCCGAGAGCGGCGTTGCTTAGAACGGACCCGGTGCAGACGACAGTAAAGTACAAGCCCCCGCCCGCAGCCGAGCCTCCAGCGCATCCCCCCTCGCTTACCCTGGGCGCTGCGGTCCTCCATGAACTGGCAGAGCAGCAGCAGCAGGAGGCACAGCCCGCCGGGCTGGTGCCTGGGACCCACCATCCTGGGGGCACACGCGGGGCGAGGCGTGCGGCGGCGCGGGCAGCGGGCGCGGCGGCGGGTGGCTCCGGCGAGCGGCGCGCGTCGCAAGGGCGAGCGGCGGAGGGCGCAGCGATCCCGGCGCAGCCCCGCGCTCGCCGCCGGCCGCCCGCGCGATTCAATGGACGTCAGAAGCCGGGCGCAGCCGCGCTTTAAATCTAGACGGGGGTCTCCGCGGTTTGCGGTGGGCGGTCTCCCAGTGTGTGGGGCAGTGGGAGGGCGGCCGCGAGCGAGGGTGTGCGCGGCTCCTTGGGGGTGGGGAGCTTTTAAAAGTTCAGTGTGAATCAGGTGACATTTCCCACCTTCTGGAAACCCTTCCCAATTATCTGTTGGAGGTGCCCGAAATCAAAGCGGCAGGAGGGGAATCGCCGAGTTCTTATTTGCGTAGGAGGGAGAGGGAGGGGGAAGGCGGTCGGGCGGGGGGTGGGGGCGACGCTTCGGGGGTGGGGAGTGGGGAAGAACACCCACTTCAAGTCCTGCACGCCGCCGCTCGCAGGCAACGCCGGCGCGCCCGGGGTGGCGTGTCTGTGAGTGTGTGTGTGTGTGTGTGTGTGTGTGTGAGAGGGGGGCGCGGTGGGGGCGCTGGAGGCGGCGGCGGCGGGCGGAGCGGGGGGGGGGAGCGGGGGGGAGAACCCGGGAGTTTGCCTCTCCTCCCGCTCCTCCGCTCCAGAAAGACTTTGCAAACGCCCAGGGAGCCTGGAGCTGCTGAAACACCCCGCTCGCGGTCGGGTCGGAGCGCGCTGGCCCCGCGGCTCCGCCGGGGCGCGCGGCACTTTTAGGCCCCCGCAGCCTGGGCGCGGGACCCGCCAGGTTTTGTGTCTGGGTCTGTGCGAGCCCGACTTTCCGGTCACCCCCCGTTCGGAGTTGGGGCTACGAACCCGGCGCCGGCGCCTTCCACCTTGGCTGAGCGGGGCCGAGACGCGGCCCTCGGTCTCGACGAGTCACAAGCAAACAAAAATGTTAAACACCTCGGGCCCGGCCTCCCCCCGTCACAGTCTCGCCCTCTCCCTTTCTTTTCTCCCCTTTCACTTCGCGGCGTCTGGAGTCGGAGCCTGGAGCGGGGGCGCCGACGTAGGCGGTCTGCCCCCCCTCCCCGGCTCGGAGACTCCCCAGTTTCTGTCCTGTGTGTCTCTGTCTCTCTCAGTCTCCTTCCCAGCTCGCTCGCTCTCCTCCCTCTCTCCGTCTCTCTCGGTTCGCGGAATAAAAAAGATTGCAACATCGATAATGAACTTCTGTAGCCTCAGTTTATTAAGCACAGTGCCTGGCATTCTTCGCTGAAAGTTGGCGGGTCTCTCATTTATAACATTTTTGGCACTGCTGAATGAAACTGAGGAGGCGATATTTCCTTTTATATAAAACGATTACTTCACGGAAAATGCTATATTGTTTATTCCAAAGCTGCCTTTTAAATTTCCATTCTTTTCGCTTCTGGAGCCCGAAGGACAACAGACAGCGAAGTATGCAGACAAAATTCTTGGACATTCGCAGGTCACTGGGATTTGTTCTTCCACGGATTTCAAATCCGCCCCTCTTCCCCCTCCCTCCAGCCTCCCCCCTCCCGCGCCAGACCGCCCCCCATCCCTCCTCTCGCCCTCCCACCCCCCCCAGCTAACATCACCCCCCCCTTTCCACAACTGCAAATAACTCAGTGATAACAGATTTTTTTCCACCAACTGCAGGAGATAGTGCTAATCTTTTAATAAAAGATCCCATTACAATGGGATCTGTCTGGACAGACTATAATAGATCCCGAAATACAGCCGTGCTAATATTAGAAGACAGTTGTTTGGGTGCCTCTCAGACGGGCCCAAGCCCCCCTTTGAAAGTGGGCATGAATCACAAAGCCCCGCGGCCGCCGCACCTGCACCGCGCGCATTCGGTGCAGCAGGCTGGTAAAAACGGGTGACCTCGCCGCTGCTTTTCGCTTTATAATTACCGTCTTGAGGACGGGAGAGGAGGGGTGCGGGCGGTTTGGGGTGGGGGGCTGGGTTTCTGCTGACTTCAGACGGCTCTGGGGTCTCCACATCTTCCTTAATATTTCCAGATTTCTTCTCTCTCTCTCTCTCTCTCTCTCCCCTCTGGTCTTTTCCCCTCCTGTCCGCCCACCCCTTCTCTTTTTCTCTTTCCCTCCCTCATCCCCGAGTCTGCTCAAACTCTCCCCCCTCCCTTCCCTCTTTCTTTCCCGTCTTCCTTTCTCTCTTCCCTCCAACGAAGCATTAATGTAGAGTTGTTTAGTGCCCTCTAATGGCAGACGACATTAACAATTAATAGCAAACTGTCCCCATTGCCGGAGCCGCCACTCAATGGCAGAGTTCCAAAGTTGAATTTATTTCTTCTTTTTTTCAGGAAGGTGGATATAGTGCTTATATATAGTAAAGTGCTGGAGGGAAAGTTTGTTTTCTTCCCTTCAAGTCTTTTTTCCCAAGGAAAACAGCCGAAAAAAAAGGGGAAAGCTAACAATAATTGTTATGTGACTTTTTTATGTATGTAAAAATTTGTCTTAATAGCAGCTTTTGTTTTAGCTGGGTTTATCAAACCGTGTATCTAGAATTGGAAAATAAATTAGATATTCTAAATACGTAAAGAGATCTTAGATGGTAGATGGTCGGATTCTATGGCAGTGCTACCGATAGCCATTAAAAAAATTTTAAGACCCAAATGTAATTATATGAATTTATATTTGTTACCTGTTTAAATACATTTATTGGTCCTAAATCTACCGTAGTCTCTTAAAGCTTTGAAAATCTGACTGTAATTAGATTTTATAGCCTAGGACCGTATGAAACATTAAAATTTTACTTGTGGTTGGTCATATACGAAGTCATCTTGCTTAGCGGAACATAGGTTCATATTTTAATCCTTGGTTTAATTTTCCCAATCCTTTTGGAAAGATGATTCTAGAGACCATAATTTCTTCATATTTATAACATGTAGCAATGAAAACAGTGATGTAGCTTGCAAGTTCTTACTAGATTTAACTTTTTCAACTACATGTGCTATATATACAGTATGATGATATAAAAAGAGCATAACAGTTATATATAATATGACTTTTTGGGGGGATCTATGTGACTAAACAAAAATTGTAATAGAGTCAGTTTTTGGGGGGTTAATAAAAATATTTATCTGGATTTTTGAGCAAAAGTATTTGGTTTATCTAGGTAGTTAATTCATATATAGAGAGACAACTGGTGTCATAAACACTTACTAAATTCATATAACCCAACTATGTGTCTACACAGTTCTGTATGATGGGTAAAAAGTAAAAATTCTGATTCTATTTTATTTTTTTGTCTACATAATGCCGAATACTTGGACTGGTCATTTGACTAAATCAACTGCATTGACTAGTTGCTTTGGCATCATGTAATTGTTTAGGTTGGCCAAAACAGATACAGGAGCTCTCCTTGTCCAAAAAAAAAAAAATGCCACCTATCCTGAGTGCACCAGTACTAGAGGCAGACCCAATACAGGATTACTTCTCGCCCCAGTGAGGGTGGCCCTGCAGGTCAGGGTCGAGGTCACTAGCAAACACACTGTGGAAAACACAAATGCTGTGTTGCTTTTGCCCTTGTGAATAAGCAGCTTGGTGTTTGTTTAATGATACAAGCTCATCCTGTTTTTCAGCTGCACCTTGGATAGTATTGATCTGTTTGGGAGAATGCTCTGAATCGGCACAGATCAGTCATCAGGACTCTTGTTGGCCTGGGTTATCTTCTGGCCAATTCAAGGAAATGAGACATAGGTCAATACTCGTTCCATATGGGCCTCCTATGGGCATCAACAAGAGACCCATCCAATTTCTGTGGTATGAAATGGTATCACACCTGTTCAATGCCATCACAGAAAAACAGCTGCTATTTTTTTTTACTGTTTTATCTCCTGTAAATGTTAAATATTGGGTTTGTGAATGTCTAAAAGTCAAGGGGACATTTTAAAATAAAAATGCCTTCTTTCATTTTTGTTGTATGCCTCTAAGTTTGACTTCTTATTTTTTTCCTTCCTGCTCTGCCAAAAAAGTAAATGTAAATTATGAGAAACACAATAGGACCACTTTGTAACTGACTTTCTGGGCAGCAAACAAAAAGACTGCTGTTCTCTGATTGTTTTTTTTGTCAGCTTCAAAAGCTGTCTTCCTTCTGAAGTTTATAAATTTAAAATATTAGAGTTTAGCAAATGATTCAATCTGCTCTGAGGATATCTACTTGAGATCATATGAAATTGTTGTTTGAGACAAGAACTGACCTGGTTAAATTTCAGTCTCTAATAAGAGAATATGGAGGGGGTGGGATGAAGTTATGTATAGAAAATTTGAAAGTCATGAACTGCATAGTTTTATTTTTTGCCTTAAAGTTAAATGTCCAGTTTGTTTTATAATTAGGTGTTTTGTAAAATGAATATAAAGATTTCAAATGCAAATAAATAATCTTGTAGAATTTAAACACTTGATGAATAGGCTGAAGTGATTTTAAAATCAGATTTTGTTCTTCTAGGTACAAAAACATCTACTTAATGCGTCATAGTTTGAAATTGTGCAACTTCATAGGCTAGAATGAGGATTTGAGGTAGGGTGGGGGGTAATAGTTCTGTATTAGCTGAATTGTTGCAGAACTAAACAGTTAAGAAATGTGAGTACATAAAAGCAATGTTTATCCAAGATGTCCAAACTAAATGATTAAATTTTTTAAAAAGTCATTAGAATATATGTTTTTAACATAGCACTGAGAAAACAATGGATTACCTGAACTTTTCTCTTTTCTCTATTGCTTTGATGTTATGTAGAGCCAGTCAATTACGGACATCTCTTTCTTTCTGATACTACTTGCTTCTGTATAACATTTTTTTTTTTTTTTAAAGATTTAACTCACAACCCTGAGATCTAGAGTTGCAAGCTCTACTCACTAAGCCAGCCAGGCATTTGTATGACTTTTTTTTTTTTTTAAGTTTATTTGTTTATTTTGAGAGAGAGTGAGAGAGAGAGAGGGAG